CATTCTACTACCCAACATTCTTCGTTTGAAATTGTTTATGGATTTAACCCCTTAACCCCTTTAGACTTGTCTCCAATGCCTGTTTCTGAGTATCTTAATGCAGATGGAGCCAAGAAAACTGAATATGTACGTTCTCTTCATGAGAAAGTACACATGAATATTTTTAAGAGAAATGAGCATGTTGCGCGGATTGCCAACAAGGGGCTTAAGGAAATGATATTCGAACCTGGTGATTGGGTTTGGGTTCATTTAAGGAAGATTCGATTTCCTACAAAGGTTAAATTGAAGTTAGATCCTCGTGGAGCTGGTCCTTTCAAAGTTGTCAAGCGTTTGAACAACAATGCTTATCAACTTGACCTTCCTGGTGAGTATAATGTTAGTGCGACTTTTAATGTTTCTGATTTATCTCCGTTTGATTTCTCATATGCTGAATCTATACAAGGTTCGGATTCGAGGTCGAATCCTTTTGAGGAAGGAGGGAATGATGTGAACATCCATGGTAATCAAGTCAAAGATGATCAAGGTCAAGGAGTGGCTCAAGATCTATTATCCAACATTGGAGGCCCAATGACTCGAGCTAGAAGTAAAAGGATGAAGAGTGCATTTAATAATCTTATATCAAATGGTTTAGCCCAAGAGAATGTCAAGTCTGGAAGTTACAAGCCCAAGATTATTAATGTGTTACAAGGCCCATTTGAGGAAGGAAATTTCGGCCCACAAACCAAGCAAGGGAGGTCAGCCCTATCTCCTCATTTTTAGGAGTTGGAATCTCTATCTTTTAGGGATAAAATCATTTAAATCTTATCACACTTGTGCAAGGATAAGATTTGGAAGATTCCCTATCTTTTAGAGATAAGATCATTTAAATCTTATCACATGAAAGGATAAGATTTGATATGATTCTCTTTTATCTAATTTAGAGTTTATTCAAAATAAGAAGTCTATTCCTTGATGTCTACTCTCAACCATTGGATGGAGATTAGATCAAGATTGGATGGCTACGATTACTCTACAAAGAATATATTGATAGAGTTGACAATTTAGGAAGATTCTTTTCAAGATAAGGATAAGATTCTTTTTTGAGAGAATATGTCTTTGTATTTGGAGTTTTATTTTCATTAGACTAGTGTGTCTTAAGTCTATAAAAGGTGTCTAGATTCATTGCCTTAGTAGATAAGATACAAGTTATCAATTAGAGGTTAAGTTGATTTCTAGTTCTTTAAAGTAGGAATAGAGTTAGAGATCAAACTCTTCTCCTAATTGGTAGGAGAATTTTCGGCCCCCTCTACTATAAATTGGGGTGCTTGGCCAGCATTTCATTTGTACCTTTTGATGAATTTGATATTTCAATATGAGACGAGAGGAAACTCTTTGTTCTTTTTCTATTCTTTTCGAAGATTAGTGCATTGCACACAAGCTTGTGCTTTGTTGATACATGCGAATAGAATAGGTGTTTTTCTACTTGTGGAGCTTTGTTAGTTGTTCATTGAAGCCTTTTCGCTAGCCGTTCTATCCATAAATCGAAGGGATAGGGTTGTTAGAGAGGTGACCGATTGGGTTGCTAGCGTTAATCACCTTCTACATCTTCTAAACCTTTCCATCCCTTTTTGGTGCAAATTTTTGTGGTTTGCATCTCTTCTTTCCTTTTATTTTTGTGCGTTTGGAGTCCATAATATTGGATCTGCAAGTTTTCAAGTCTTGGGAAATTCATATCTTCTGCGTCGAGGTAAATCTGCCACCTTTGCCTCAAGATTCGTATCAGCCTGAATTCTGCCACAACGGTGCTGACATTAGGAAACTTGCTGTGTAATTTCATAGATGCTAATCAATGGCCAGAAAGACTAACACCATCTCTATTGAATCACTCTCTGCTGGGACGAGCTCCACTGGGACCGAAGATTTGGTTTGATGGAGCCACATTTCGCCTTCACCGATGTGCAGGAGTCGGGGTTTATCAAGAGGATGCGAATGGTCACTTTGTCATGGCCAAAACAAAGAAATTTCCCAGCATTCAGGATGCTAACATGGCAAAAACATTGGTTTTAAGAGAAGCTTTGCTAATGGCGGAGGAGTGCAACCTAGCCGACTTCTCAATTCTAGGAGATGCAATCAATCCCGTATTTGAAGCACAGACTGTAGTTATGGATTTGAATGACCTACAACAACCTATGATTTCTATCCACAGGTTGATCCAAAAAATCCGCCCTTTGGGCATTTTCTGGATCCGTCGTAGTGAGAACGCCTTAGCGCACAAGTTCGCGGAGCTAACCAAAAACAGTGCGGATGATTGTAATTTTAGGTTGCACACCCCTGTAGCTTTTAGTCACACGCATCTGGACGATTTCCAGCATATTTGAATGAAAGTTTCTTTCTTTTTTTTAAAAAAAATGGTAAAAATATGGACAGATATGATTCATTGTCGATAGTCGTTCCACAAAGTGCCACAAAAAGTAATTCGTTCGATACCAATAGTTTAAAATGTTACTATATGGCACTAGAAATGTAAATAGTGTTACCATTCATTTTTCTATTAAAATTTTGCCAAAAACTGACGGTCAACCGTTTTGTCACATGAGATGCATGTAAGTTGGCCCAAGGGTATTTGTGTCCTTGTCACTTTCAATTAATTATATATAAAGTACCACAAAGTTGCTTTATATATTCGTTTGGTACCAAAAGTTAAAATGTTAGTAATATGGAAAAAGAAACATAATATTATTGCCATTCGGTTTATTCTTTTTTTAAGCAAATTTAGGACGGCACCTGGCAGGCACCCCTGATTTTATTAATTTTAGAAAAAAATGTAAGTAGGCAGTGCTTAAGACTTATCTCATTAAAGAGTCTGTCGTATAAACATTTTCTAAGAATCCATGATGGCTCTACATTAAAACTAGCTATCTAAGAGATTGTCTCACAAAGATTATTTTAAAATTCCTTGATAATTCTACTTTAAAACATTTAGCTAAAAGACTGTCTCACAAGATTTTCTAAAAATCCCAGGATAACTTTATTAATTACTATAATTTTACAATTCCTATTAACTACTTTATACGGAGATATGAATTAAGAAATATGATTTAAACTTAAAATATTTCTAATTGAAGTCAGTAAATAAAATTGAAGTTCATATGTCTTTGTTAAACCAGCTCACCCAAGCTTTGATAGAATATCAACTACACCATTTACCTCTCTGAAGTTATGGATAATTTTGTATTCTGTATGGATTAGCATCCTTTGAACGTCATTTAGATGATCATGACGCCTCCAAGGAAAATTGCTTCTACTCTGAAGCAGGTTAACAATTAACTTATTATCTATTTTGTACCGTTATCTTTTTGAGTTTTCGCACTTTGCAAGTTTTAAACCCATAGTATATTCCTTCAACCTCAGCAACAAAGCTATAATTCACTTCAATGTATTTGCATTCAGCCGTAATAAAAATGTCATTATCTCCATGAATCACAAAATCACATCCCCAATTCTCTAGATTGCCAAAAAGTTGATCTATCGGTGTTTAAAATTATTTCTTCTGGATCCGATAGTTTCCAGCATACATTGATAACTTTCTTCATTAATGGCTCCAAGATTTATGTCAAATTACTCCAATTTGTTTTTATTTTAGAAAAACTTAATGGTACAATATTTATGTTTTTGGTGCTATTTTAACTTTTAGTTGTGAACAAATATAGTTAGTAACTTTGTGGTATTTTATGTGTAGTTAATCGTAACAAATTTTTGCACGGACACAAATACCCTCCGATCAATTCATATGCATCTCACATGACAACATGGTTGACCGTTGTTTTTTTTTTTTCATAACCTAACAAAAATTTAATGATAACACTATTTATGTTTCTGGTGCCAGATAGTAACATTTTAAACTTTTAGTATCGAATGAATATAATAACTAACTTGTGGTGCTTTATGCATAACTAATTTGTTTCGTTTTTTTACTGAGCACCCAAATTTCACGCAATATATATATTTATATATATATATATATATAGATATATATGACAACCAATGTTAGTGCTTATGACAAGATATAAAAAATCAAGGTTAATAAATACATAATATAATGAAGTACTACAAAGCACCAAAAAAAATAAAAAAAATTCTGCAGAGAAGTTTTTAAGAAATGAATTCTATATTCAACATCACCCATCACGCTTACAAGTTTTACTGTTAAATAAATTAGTTTTCTCATTGAACTAATTTGTTCATGCCTAATGATTTTATGGCGAAATAATAAAAAAATCCTCCAAAAGGAAAAAAATCAAAATAAATATTGAAAACAAAGATGAAAGGATTGAAACAGTCGTACATGTTAGAGAAGAGAGAGATTGATGATGGGGAGAGGAGACAAATGCCTAAATGATTACAATATAACCACAAATATTGTACGAATATTCTCAATGTTCGAAATAATGGGACGCATCATAGTACAATAAAACTTCTATATGTTAATAGAGGTTAACCTATCAAAATTTATTAGTTTAGTGAATTATTAAATTAAATAAATTGATAAAATTAATTTACAGAATTTTCTTAAGGAAAAAATAATCTTTACAAAATTATCTATTTTTCATATATTTTTGCCATCCGAATCAAGCAAGTCTTAAAACTCATCTTGGTAGTAAACTCTATACTTAGTTTTAGTTTATGTCATTTTCGGGACTACAAGAGCAAGTATTAATCGCTTATATTTTATTAAATATTTATAGTTATCATTATTATTGTTATTTTTTTTTTGCGTTAAAGTAAGTATTAATTTATTATAATATTATTGGGATCGTTAGCATTTATTATCTTATTATTTGATCAATTTTATTTGCTTTTTGTGGTAATTCCATATTGAAACCAGAGAACGTTGGTATTTACTCGAAATTATTAATTTATAAATTATTTATTTAACTACTTTCTATTATACCTATGTATCTAGTATAGTGTATCATTCCAACCATGTCGCGGAAATACTCCTTTTTTTTGTTAACATCAGGTGGATATTTCGTCACAATTTTTGCCTTAAAAAAAGTAAAAATTTTTAATTAAAATATTACAATAGAATTAGCTAGTTCTTTGGGGCGTACCAATTCGTAGCACAAATTTAAGGCAAGAAAGCAAAAATACATATTCCATTTCTACGAATGAAATTAATCGTACGAGGAACCATCATTTAGCAGCAAGTGCAACCAGTTGCTTCCCAACGTTGCGACCGGTGAAGAGACCTACAAATGCTGCAGGACCATTTTCAAGTCCTTCTGCAATGTCTTCCACACAGATGATCTTCTTTTCTCGTATGTAAGGCAGCATGAAATCCAGCATTTTCGAGTACACGTGACGGTACGCAAAAGACGTGAACCCTTCCATCCTGATGTTTCTGAAGATGAGCTGGATTAGATTATGCACTCCCTCATGTTTCTCAAGATTGTACTGGGATATCATTCCACAGAGGGCGATCCGACCGTGCATTCTCATATTGAGAACCACGGTATCCAACGCCTTTCCCCCGACATTTTCAAAGTAAATGTCGATTCCTTCGGGAAAGTACCTGAAAGATAACCATCTATAAAGTGAAATGAACCATCCTCAAATGGTTAACTAATTTAGATCCCCTGATAAACTCATTTGACTAAGATTATTGCCACCTAGCTTGGCTCTGAAATTACATAGCTGAATACAACATGAACGACAGAAAAAAGGTTTTTGACACTTCCTATGATAATAACTTTGTTCAGATAATTAGTACTGTATATATTAACGAACCTTTTCAGTGCAGCATCTATTTCTTGCTCGTTGTAATTAAAAGCATCATCAAATCCAAGCTTGTTCTTCAGAAGATCAACCTTTTTTATGGGAAGAAAATATATGCAGAGATGAAAGTTAAAATTTAATTTGCAGAATAATAAAGAGATTTGTAGAAAACATAGGACAAACTCTAAAAGAGGCCTAGGAAAAGTAGTGGAATTGAACAATGCAGTTAGCAATTAGTTCTCTTCAGCTAGCTCGGTAGGTATACTCCCTCTGGTCCTAATTATAAGGCACAAATTAACAGTGAGTTTGGTTCAAATTTATGCTTTAAAATTTGAACCGGAGGGAGCATATGCAATGCAAAACCACTACAAGTTTAGCAATGTCAAACTGCTTTGATGATGTGAGAAATGTGACGGAATGCACCATGCTTGATCATCTATTAAACGTTTCAAACTAGACACATATGAATAGATTTGCAATTTTAAGAATCGTGCTATGGATCAGGTTACCAAGTAAAAGATTAGATTTATGAATGCATCGAAAAGAGTCTTATCGAACAAAAAAAAAGTGCAAATATTTAGTATGCAAAAGGAGAAATGCAGAGTTGAAATCACCAGAAGGTTTGAAAGCCAATCTACCTTTTCTTTACTTCCAGCACTTCCAACAACATAACAACCTGCCGATTTTGCAAACTGACCAACAAGCTGACCAATTGAGCCAGCAGCAGCTGAAACATACACTTTATCTCCTACTTTTGGTTTGCAAATCTCGTAGAATCCAGCGTATGCAGTCAACCCCGGCATACCTTAACCAGAATTTGGAAAATCAAACATAAAAGAGAAGCATGATGGAACAACATGAATCAAGATTGGATGCTATTGTACGACACCAAAAAAGTTTTTCTTAGAAATACATTGTATGGTTGAATTTACCTAAAATTCCAGTGTAGTAGGAAAGCGGTATATCTTTGTGCTCAATCGTTGTCAAATCATCGGGTTTGGTTATAAGACTATACTCTTCCCATCCTGTTGTACCCCATACCAAGTCACCGTTTTGAAAATTAGGATGTTTGGAATCCACAACCTTTGATACTCCATAGCCTTTTATGGGCTGAAATTAATATGATAAAACAAGGTGCATGATTTGAGTTGCAGCTCGTAAAATTAGTCGACAATATTAAACATAACATTTCCTTACACTTCGAAAATGATTAATATACATCCAAAGTAGTTGCCGAGTTTAATAAGGATCTTCAATTTCAAACAACTACAGGCACTTCCGACAGATAAACTAGAATTAACAATGAAAATTTTCCAACCTTTAGCAGTATTATTGCTGACTTCCTACCATATTCAAATTTTAAAAATTCCTATAGAGAATACTACTCTGAACTTCCTAAAATTCAGACAGTTGAACAAATTTGCAATTCTATTTCCATATACAACCCAATGTGGTAACCATACTGACTGAATAGTTAGATTTTTACGTAGAACTTATAAATTAAGTGAATCACATCTGATCTCGCTGTGGTCAGCGTTCGCATTAAAAATATTGCAGGGTACTTTTGCCTGCTCCAAGTTCCAATTGCACAGTGGAAAAACAATCAATAAAGCAACTATTTACCCTTCTAAAATTGATGGGTAGCTCAAAAGAAAGTGTGCAGATATAACATGCACAAAACAATGCCAAAAAGGAGGAAACCTGCAATAGACTTACAGAGCTAACAGCGTAATTAGAAAGTTCTTCCTCAATACCAGAACCCGGTGCCATGAGAAACCTCATGTAAGGATCACATGACAAGTAGAGATTCTTAAGCAACACCCCATTTGAGCCTTCGGGGACTTCCAAACTTATGGTGCTGTCCTCGCAGAATTGGAAGTCGGTCTCTTTCGGAGCCCCAATTGGATGGCTTTTGAACAGAACTTGTTTGTTCTTCACCACTGTCGCTGCTTCCCCCATTCTAAAATAATCATTTCTACCATGAATTAGTAACTAGTCGCAGAAACTATATAGCTGTTGAAAAAATTTGTCTAAATGAACTTTGCTTAGAGGTTTAAAGTAGATATTGTTAGACTCCAATAAAGACAGAGACAGGAAATTTCTCTTGCAGATATTTTTCAGTAATATTTTCGAAAGATACATGCATCTTCAGCATCAAAACATGCCATGACAATCCCGACAACTCAAATTTGTCCAGTTTGATGAACTCATTTTGAAAGGAAAATCAACATCTTACTCCTTGGTTCTTCAGAAGTGATTATACACACACGCCAGAAAGAAAAATCTCAGTTAATTTGTTATTAAAACAATTATTCAAACGACGATCTTTTAGAGACAGAGGCCTAGTCAATCACAGTACTGTCACATGAAATACGCTACTTACAAGTAGTATGAGACTTTAAGCATATATAAATACGACTTAATGCAAAATGATAAGTGAATTCGCTGTAATTCATCTTCTTCAACTTGAAAGCCTTTTGTTCAATAAGTCGAATACTTGAACTCAGTACAGAAACAACTATTCATTTGTCATTTGTCAACAAACGGCACGAAAAAAGCATGAATACAAAGGTACCCCTTTTATGTATCTTGATGAAGGCAAAATCACCCATGCTCATTCATATTCATTGATTAATTTAAACATAAGAAAAGACCCATAAAACTTCTCGAAAATTCATAACAAATCTAGATGCAGTAAAGGGATGACATGATAGAGTAAAATCTTTAGTTGGACTCAAGTAATTGATAGATACTTGAATCACCTGGCAATTAGAGATCCTTCCAAGAAATCTTCTGCCTGATTGTGGTTTGACCCGTTTCTCTCCGACCCAGATGAGAAAACTCTTGCATCTCAGAGGATCTTGTCCTGGGAAACAAGCAACCGCTTTTATAATATCTATGATGAATCATCATCATCAATCGACTGAAACAGATAAATACAAAATTGTTATTTCCCAGATTCCATCCAGAGGAGCACAATTTTCATTTCATTTTTTATACTCACTGCCTACTCCAATGCACCTGCTCTTTGGAAAAGTGACATCGTTAACAAATTAACATACGGCAAGATATTTATTAATAATAATGAAATGCATTTGTGATGTAACTTCCAGAACCAAATTGAATGATCTAAAGCAGGAACAGTAGTTGTTGTCTCTTGTTAAAACAATTATTCCAGTCCTATGATATTGTTTTTTTTTTTTAATTTATTATTAGTATAAAAGGCCGGCATTGAATTTTGAGGTTATTGCACTGAGTATCATACAGTTGTCAGGTTCACACATTATTTGGAAGATCAAAGTTGAAGTTCCTCGCATCGAGTTGATGAGTATTTTTTAAGAATATTAGATATTACACCCGCACAATGTAAGAAACTTTTTTTTTAATTTAAATTCTATGTAAATAAAATTATATTCGGAAATCGAACATTGTGTAAATCAAAGAAATATTTACATGGGATTTGATGGGTTACAAAATCAACGTTGGATATATTAGTTTGTATATAGTCGTGTATTGTAATATTTAGTATATTTCCTATTATGTTCTAGTTTAGGGTTTGTTATTGTCTATATATAGTCTGTATATTGCACAACATATTATGAATTCAATACAAATTCTCTATTCTAACTTGGTATCGAGCTAGGTTTAAAACAACCCAAAATTTTTTTTCTCTCTCTCTTTTCTTTTCTCTTCCCACCGCCGGTTTCTTCTTCTTTGGCCGCCACACACACACAGCCACACACAGCCGGTTTCTTTGGCCGATTTCTTTTCTCTGCCGCCACAAACAGCCGCCACACACACGGTTCTTCTTCTCGTGCCGCCGGTTTCTTCTTCTTTGGCCGCCATACACACACAGCCACACACGGCCGGTTTCTTTGGCCGGTTTCCTTGCTGCCGCCTGCTGCTGCCGCTTGCTGCTGCTGCTGCTCGATCGTCGGCATCGTCGGTTGCCGTATTCCTCCCTGCCGATTGCTGTTCTGCCGCCGCCTACTACTATTTTTTTTGTTCTGCCGCCGCCGTCGCTGGTGTTTGCTGTTCTGCTGCTGCCGCCGGTCTGCTTTCCTCCGTTGCCGGTGCTGCTGCTGCCGCTGTTTTCTCTGCCATCGGCGTCCTTCCTGACGATGACGAGGATTCTTCATTCGGTGTTGGTCGTTGCCGTGGATTCTTAAACACAATCAATAAACAAAAACAAAAAAAAAAAGAAAAAAAAAACAAACAAAAAAAAAACCAAAAAAAAATCATAAAAAAAATTCAGTTTTGCTTGCTTACTTTCAACGATGACTATTACCGACCTTTCATCCGCCGACCAGGCTACTCATCTTCGGTCACCGGTAACTTCTTCACAGACATCCGTATCACTTCTTCAACCTAGTATGCAATCTCTCAATCATTCCTTTACTGTGAAGCTGCAATCTCGGGCCAACTATTCGTTTTGGCGTCTTCAGTTTACTCCTTTATTGACTATGTTTTGTGTTGCCGGTATTGTCGATAGCACCGAACCTGCACCGCCACGATTTCTTCCTTCCGTTAGTGGTGTCGTGCCCCAACTCAATCCTGAGTTTGATATCTGGCAGCAAAAGGATCAGTTGGTCCTCTCTTGGATTCTTTCTTCCGTTGCTGAAGAGATCTTTCCCGTTCTCCAGGGCTGCACAATGTCGGCGGCTGCATGGACAGCTCTTCAGCAGGGTTTCGGCACTCTTTCTTATGCTCAACAGACCCAGCTTGTTATGGAGCTCCACAGCTTGCAAAAAGGTGACTTGTCGGTCACGGCTCTCCTCTCCAAAGCGAAGGGCATCGCCGATACACTGCAGCTTGCCGGTCATCGCATATCTCCTGCGGAGTTTAATGCCATAATCTTCCGCAAGCTTGGAGCTGAATTTAATGGCATCATCGGAGCTCTGCAACAGCGATCCGAACCCCCCTCCTATCAAGATCTCCTTGGACAGTTAGTTTCGTATGAGGTGCTTCTTCACGCCCAACAGCCGGTCCTTCAGCCCACGTCCATGCTTGTGCAGTCGCCACCTTCTCCTCTGCCGCCACCTCCTCCTCCTTCTTCCCGTCAGCACTCAATGACACTTCGTTCACAACCCAAGCCCGAGAAAATCTTTGATCCCTCGGCTCATCTTACCTCTGTTTCTCCAGCCTTGTCTACTGCTCCTATGTCCTTCACCCAAGCCAAATCTCTTCCTCAGTGGCAGAATGCCATGAAGGATGAAATTTCCGCCCTCCTCAAAAATAACACATGGACTTTAGTTCCCCCTCCTTCCTCCGGCAATGTTATCGGCAATCGATGGCTCTATAAGATTAAAACTCATGCTGATGGCTCCATTGAACGGTATAAGGCTCGGTTGGTGGCTCGAGGTTTTACTCAGTCTTTTGGGGTTGATTACACTGACACATTTAGTCCGGTTGTTAAGCCGGTCACCATTCGTTCAGTTTTGACTGTTGCTCTGGCTCGTGGATGGTCGATTTCTCAGCTTGATGTCAGTAATGCCTTTCTTAATGGAGTTCTAAGTGAGACTGTGTATATGGTTTAGCCACAGGGATTTGTTGATCCGGTGCGCCCTCATTATGTATGTAAACTGCATAAATCCTTATATGGTCTTAAGCAAGCTCCTCGGGCCTGGTATTCTCGGCTGGCAGCATTTCTACTTACCTTGGGTTTTGTGGAGTCTTGTTGTGATCCGTCTCTTTTTGTCTATCGCCGTGGGTCTCAGTTGTGTTTTTTGCTAGTCTATGTGGATGACATTATTCTTACGGGCAGCACTTCTGGTTTGGTCCAGCATTTTATCTCTTGTCTTGCTAAGGAGTTTTCTCTTCGAGATTTAGGTCCGTTGAGTTACTTTCTTGGGGTTGAGGTTCGTCGTACTTCCAAGGGTTTGCTTCTCTCTCAGCGCAAGTATGTCACTGATTTGCTACGACTTGCAAATATGCATACTTGCAAACCTGTTTCCACTCCTTTGCAGGCTAATGTTGTGTTGTCCCGTTTGGATGGTACTCTTTGTCTCCGATGATGCGACTACTTATCGTCGGTGTGTGGCAGTCTGCAGTATACAACTCTCACTCGTCCAGATATCTCTTTTGCGGTTAATAAGCTTTGTCAATTCATGCATCAGCCTCGCACTTCTCATTTTCAGGCTCTCAAACGGGTTCTTCGCTATCTTCGTGGTACCGTTGATTACTGTTTAGTTCTGCATCCTACAGATTTGGGTACTCTTACTGCATTTAGTGATGCTGACTGGGCTGGCTGTCCGGATGGTTGTCGTTCTCCTACTGGTTTTCTCATTTATTTGAGACCTAATCTCATTGCCTGGGCATCTAGGAAGCAGCCCACTGTGGCTCGCTCGTCTGCTGAGGCTGAGTTTCGTGCGGTTGCTAATGTCTATGTTGAACTGCATTGGGTGTGTCATCTGTTGTCCAAGTTAGGCGTTTCTTTAAATTGCCCTCTCTCTATTTGGTGTGACAACAGTACTGCAGTTTTCCTTGCTGTCAATCCTGTGTTCCATGCTCGTACAAGACATGTTGAGGTTGATTTTCACTTTGTTCGAGATCATGTTCGGCGTAAGTTTGTATCGGTCAATTCTATCTCTGCTGCTGATCAGCTTGCTGATATTCTGACAAAACCCTTGTCCAAAGAGTTATTCTTTCGATTTCGGGACAAACTTCGGCTTCTCTCTTCTTCGCCGTAAGTTTGCGGGGGCGTATTGTAATATTTAGTATATTTCCTATTATGTTCTAGTTTAGGGTTTGTTATTGTCTATATATAGTCTGTATATTGTGCACAACATATTATGAATTCAATACAATTTCCCTATTCTAACTTCGTGGATGGAAACATGAATTTAGAACCGCATGCATTAAACTGCATATGGTTAAAATAATAGTATAATCTATATAACTGACCATAGGTAACGTGTATGGAAGAGGAGTTATTTTCATTGATAAAAATATTATACCAT